CTGGCTAGGAAGGAGTGCTGCTTAGTTACATTCCTTCTGAGCCAGGCTTCGCGATTTTTGCGTCTTCTTCCGCAAAACAACGTTGTCTCGCGGGAGAAGACGCGAGAATCGTGAGGCCTGGCTAGGAAGGAGAGCAGCCGAAGCAGTGCTCCTTCCTAGCCAGGCTTCACGATTTTTGGGAGACCTGGCTAGGAAGGAGCGCTGCTTAGGGCGCATTCCTTCTGAGCCAGGCCTTGCGTTTCTTGTGTTTTCTTCCGCGAGACAATGTTGCCTCGCGGGAGAAGATGCGAGAGTCGCGAGGCCTGGCTCGGAAGGAATGCATCCTAAGCAGCACTCCTTCCTAGCCAGGCTTTGCGATTCTCGACTTGAGCAGCGCAGCCTGAGCGGCTCTGCCGCCAACAAAAGAGAGGCCTGTGCAAAGAAGGCAGGAAGGATGAGGAGCCTGCCCAGGAGACCTCCATGAGCAAGTCCGGTAATTTTATTGTTATATTATTTTATTTTAATTTTATACCCGGAGTACTAGATGACCCCCAAAATTTTCTAAAGTTTTACATGCCTAAAAAGTTGTCTAGTACCCCGGTTTTTACGGTATATATATATATATAATATATATATATATAAATATATATTGGTGTGTGGCCATGTTCTCTCCTGACGTTTCGCCTGCATCTCTGGCAAGCATCCTCAGAGGTAGTGAGGTCTGTTGGAACTAGGAAAAAGGGTTTATATATCTGTGGAATGACCAGGGTGAGACAAAGGACTCTTGTCTGCTGGAGCTAGGTGTGAATGTTTCAACTGACCGCCTTGATTAGCATTTGATTGCCTGGCAGTGCCTGGAGCAATCTTTTGTTGAGAGGTGATTAGATGTCCTTGTTTGTTTCCTCTCTGTTGTTGTGCTGTTCTAATTTTAGAGTTTTTAAAATACTGGTAGCCAGATTTTGTTCATTTTCATGGTTTCCTCCTTTCTGTTGAAATTGTGGATTTCAATGGCTTCTCTGTGTAGTCTGACATGGTGGTTGTTGAGAGTGGTCCAGCATTTCTGTGTTCTCAAATAATATGCTGTGTCCAGTTGGTTCATCAGGTGCTCTGCTATGGCTGACTTCTCTGGTTGAAGTAGTCTGCAGTGCCTTTCATGTTCCTTGATTTGTGTTTGGGCCACGCTGCGTGCAGACGTCAGGAGAAATGCCTCTAGACCAGTGTTTCTCAACCTGGGGGTCGGGACCCCTGGAGGGGTCTGAAGGGGTGTCAGAGGGGTCACCAAAGACCATCAGAAAACACAGTATTTTCTGTTGGTCATGGGGGTCTCTGTGTGGGAAGTTTGGCCCAATTCTATCATTGTTGGAGTTCAGAATGCTCCTTGATTGTAGGTGAACTATAAATCCCAGCAAGTACAACTCCCAAATCTCAAGGTCTATTTTTCCAAAACCCCACGAGTGTTCGCATTTGGGCATATGGAGTATCCGTGCCAAGTTTGGTCCAGATCCATCATTGTTGGAGTCTAGAGTGCTCTCTGGATATAGGCGAACTTCAACTCCCAAACTCAAGGTCAATGCCCACCAAACCCTTCCAGTATTTTCTGTTGGTCATGGGAGTTCTGTGTGCCAACTTTGGTTCAATTCCATTGTTGGTGGGGTTCAGAATGCTCTTTGTTTACAGGTTAACTATAAATCCCAGCAACTACAACTCCCAAATGGCAAAATCAATCCCCCCGCCAACCTCACCAGTATTCAAATTTGGGCATACCAGGTATTTGTGCCAAATTTGCTCCAGTGAATGAAAATATATCCTGCAGATCATTATTTACATGGCGATTCATAATGTTAGGGTTATAGTTGGGGGTCACCACAACATGAGGAACTGTATTAAGGGGTCACGGCATTAGGAAGGTTGAGAACCTCTGCTCTAGACCATAGCCATATAGCCCGAAAAAACCTACAACAACCCAGTGATTCCGGCCATGAAAACCTTCGACAATACCAAGTTTGAGGTTGGTTTCGGAGTGGGAAAACGTGAAACCGAACTCCGCGTGATTGTGACATTTGTGAGGCTCACGATTCTTCGGCTACGAGACGAAATGGACTGGTGTGTTTCCATCTCCAACGGGCCAGGGATTTGCATCTTAATTTTGCCCATGTTTTCCTCCCTGAAAAGTTGCCTTGGACTGGCAGTCAACAGCTCATGCACGTCCCACCAATCCACGGACCATCATTTTTAGGATCACTACATTTAGTGAAAATGCTGGACTAGAAAGACAATTGCTCTCAAGGACGTTGCCCAGGGGATGCCGGGATGATTTGATGTTTTATCATCCTTGTGGGAGGCTTCTCTCATGTCCCCGCATGAGGAGCTGGAGCTGATAGAGGGAGCTCAACCGCTTCTCCCCGGATTCGAACCTGCAACCTGTCAGTCTTCAGTCCAGTCGGCACAGGGGCTTAACCCACTGCGCCACCGGGGGCTCTTGGTTTTTTTGGTTGATGAGATAGGATTGTTGTTGTTGTTGTGTACTTTCAAGTCATTTCAGACAGACACCAGAGCCCCATATGGTCATGTTTCAGAAGCATTCTCTCTTGGAGGAAAACATAAAAATCTGGCGAGCAGTATTTTTAAAAAAATCCAAAATGAGGATAGTAAATAAAGAAAAACACACAGAAAACAGGGGAATTCCAGACATGAAACAATCAAGGCCAGTTAGCACCTTCCAACAAAGGATTCCCCCAGGTAGAAAGCAGCCAGGCTTTGAAGCTGCAAAGCTATCAGTGCTAATCAAAACGGCCAATGGCAACGTTTACATTTGCTTCCAACAGACTAGACTACTTTCTTCCACCTTGGACATTATTCCACAGATATAAAATTCCACAGATTATAATGGAATGCAATAATATAATATAACATAATATAATATAATACTAATAATAATATAATATTATAATTATATATTTATATTTATATTTATATAGAGCCAGCGTTGTCCGCAAACACCTCCTAGGTCATGTGGCCAGCATGACTGCAAGGAGCACCGTTACCTTCCCGCCGGAGCGGTACCTATTGATCTACTCACATTTGCATACTTTCCAACTGCTAGGATGGCAGAAGCTGGGGCTAACAGAGAGTGCTCACGCCACTCCCCGGATTTGAACCTGCAACCTTTTGATCAACAAGTTCAGCAGCTCAGTGCTTTAACCCACTGCGCCACCAGGGGCTCCTGATAATATAATAGTATAATTATATATTTATATTACATGTAATATTACTAATAATATTACAATATAAGGGTATTGTACAATATAGTAATATTTAATACTGATATTGTACTATGCTAATCATATAATGTATTGTATTTATATATATTTTAAGCCACTCTGAGTCCCCTTTGGGGTGAGAAGGGCGGCATATAAACGTCGTAAATGTATAATATATTGTCATAAGTGTCGTAAATGTATAATATAATATATTGTATGTATATATACCTTGTAAGCCACTCTGAGTCCTCTTCGGGGTGAGAAGGGCGGCATATAAATGTCGTAAATGTATAATATATTGTCGTAAGTGTCGTAAATGTATAATATAATATATTGTATGTATATATACCTTGTAAACCACTCTGAGTCCTCTTCGGGGTGAGAAGGGCGTCATATAAATGTCGTAAATATATAATATATTGTCGTAAATGTCGTAAATGTATAATATAATATATTGTATATACCTTGTAAGCCACTCTGAGTCTCCTTCGGGGTGAGAAGGGCGTCATATAAATGTCGTAAATGTATAATATATTGTCGTAAGTGTCGTAAATGTATAATATAATCTATTGTATATACCTTGTAAGCCACTCTGAGTCTCCTTCGGGGTGAGAAGGGCGGCATATAAATGTCGTAAATGTATAATATATTGTCGTAAGTGTCGTAAATGTATAATATAATATATTGTATGTATATATACCTTGTAAACCACTCTGAGTCTCCTTCGGGGTGAGAAGGGCGGCATATAAATGTCGTAAATGTCCTAAATAAATAAATATAAACCTCACTTGCCTAGTTTCCAACAGACCTCACAATTTCTGAGGAGGCCTACCATAGATGCAGGCGAAACGTCAGGAGAGAATGCTTCTGGAACATGGCCATACAGGCCGGAAAATTCATAGCAACCCAGTGATTCCGGCCATGAAAGCCTTCAACAACACATTAAGTTAAAGTGTTGTTTGAACATCTACAAGTACTGCGTTGGAAGTTTTCCGCAGCTTGAATAATTGAAAGGAAACAACAACAACAACCATAAAGTGCGCACCGTCGTCAGCGACTCTGGTTCCTGCCACAAAGTTGGTGTTCGAACTCTAAAAAGCCTCCCAAATATATTTTGCACTCGTGAACCTGTTCGGTGCTTTTCGAAATGTCAAAGCTTCTGACTCACACATCCCTTTATGGGAAAAAGAAAGGTTTGCTACATGTTGCCATGCTCCTTAGTTTCCCACGAGGGACTGTCAGGTTCCAAGGGAATCGTCTGCAGTCTGCTCATTCTTGCAAAGCAACGAGAGCGATAGCAATTAGAATAGAGATCGACAACAGCCAATGTTGAACTGCAACTCTCAAGAAGTAATTTTAGCCATTTTCCTTCTCACTCTGAGAAAGTCTTTGAAAAACAATGCAGGTATTATTTTGTAATTTTGGACTGATTCTGTGCAAATAATTCTACCTGGCGCTTTTGTGCAGAAAATAGCATTTGTTTCCTGCACAGAAAATGTCCTTTTCATATTTTTGGGATGCTCGTCTGCCCAGAATTCCTCTCTCCGCTGTTTCTCTACAAGTTTTCCAAGAATATTTTTTAATATTCTTCCAACTATAGCCTAGATCTCCTCTTGCTCATGTCTCTTCACTCGCAACACCCTCGTTCAGGGAAGTGAGATATGTGGGATATTCAAGGTTGGATTGCTTCCGACTCAGTGATGCCCCACTTTCTCCACTTTTGAGAAGTCCCAACCCATAAATAAAAGAAGAACGACTTACGAAAAGGCGAAGGCAACAAGAGCTCCACTGACCACAATAAAATCCAGAATGTTCCAGAGGTCACGGAAGTAGGAACCAGGGTGAAGAAGGAGACCCAGGTCAATCATCTTTGGAGAAAAGAATGGTAGAGTAGAAGACATTGGAAGCCGTGAGAATTTGAGTTATAGGTGTGAAAAAATATAATGTGCCAATTTGCTAACAAAAAGTTAATGTCTCTCTGTTTTGAGAGTCTAATAAGTCTCAAAGCATACTTCTCTACTGAAGTGTAAACTACACTATTTCTAAAATGGAGTCTGAGCCCTGTACAAACCCAGATCTCATCACACGGTCTGCAGCCTCTCTCATAACAAAGAGTTAAGATCTCTCTGTTTTGAGAGTCAAATAAGTATCTAAGCCTACTTCTCTACTGAAGTGTAAACTGTATAAACTGCACTGTTTCTAAAATGGAGTCTGAGCCTTGAACATAGAATTGTAGAATCATAGAATCAAAGAGTTGGAAGAGACCTCATAGGCCATCCAGTCCAACCCCCTGCCAAGAAGCAGGAATATTGCATTCAAATCACCCCTGACAGATGGCCATCCAGCCTCTGTTTAAAAGCTTCCAAAGGAGGAGCCTCCACCACACTCCGGGGCAGAGAGTTCCACTGCTGAACAGCTCTCACAATCAGGAACAAACCCAGACCTGATCAGCCTCTCATAACAAAGAGTTAAGGTCTCTCTGTTTTGAGAGTCTAATAAATCTCTAAGCATACTTCCCTATTGAAGTGTTTCTAAAATGGAGTCTGAGCCCTGAACAATTCCAGATCTCATCACACAGTCTGCAGCCTCTCTCATAACAAAGAGTTAAGGTCTCTATGTTTTGAGAGTCGAATAAATCTCTGAGCATACTTCTCTACTGAAGTGTAACTGTAATGTTTCTAAAATGGAGTCTGAGCCCTGAACAAACCCAGATCTCATCACACAGTCTGCAGCCTCTCTCATAACAAAGAGTTAAGGTCTCTCTGTTTTGAGAGTCTAATAACTCTCTAAGCATACTTCCCTACTGAAGTGTAAACTGTACTGTTTCTGAAATGGAGTCTGAGCCCTGAACAAACCCAGACCTGTTCACACGGTCTGCAGCCTCTCTGATAAAAAAGAGTTAAAATCTCTGTTTTGAGAGTCTAATAAGTATCTAAGCATACTTCTCTACTGAAATGTAAACTGCACTGTTTCTAAAATGGAGTCTGAGCCCTGAACAAACCCAGACCTGATCACATGGTCTGCAGCCTCTCTTATAACAAAGAGTCAAGGTCTCTCTGTTTTGACAGTCTAATAATTCTCTAAGCATACCGTTCCTGCACTGAAGTCCAAACTGTACTCACTGCTTTTGATGCAAGTGCGATTGGCAGGGACGAAGGACAGGGCCTTCTCAGTGGCGGCCCCCCAGCTATTGAACTCCCTTCCCAGGGATATTAGATCGGCCCCCTCCCTCCGAAAAAAGCAAAGACCTGGCTCTTTGAGCAAACTTTTGAGGAAAACCAGGACACCCAAGGAAGATTCTTACCTTTATCACCATCTCAAAGGTAAAGACACCTGTAAATATATAATCCAGGTACTTGAGGGCCTGAAATTGGAACAGAAAGAAATTTCGAAGTTAAAAGGTGGGTACAGGAATTTGAGATAACCTAGTGCAATGCTCAAACCACCATGTAATAATAATAATCATAATAATAATCATAATCATAATAAGAACATTACTAAATAGAGTAAAATAATAAATGTAATAATAATAGAGTCAAATAATGTAAATGTAATAATAATAATAATAAATAGAGTAAAATAATAAATTAATAATAGAGTAAAGTAATGTAAATAATAATAAACAGAGTAAAATAATAAATGTAATAAAATAATTATAATTATAGAGTGAAATGATAAATAACTTTGACTCGAGGATAAGCCGAGGAAGGCGTTTTCAGCCTAAAAAAGGGCTGAGAAACTTGGCTTATACTCGAGTATATGTGGTATATTAAGGATAGGAATGGGAACTTTTGTATGTTCTGTCCTGTCCCTGATAGACCCTGATGGGAAGCTGAGTATCAACATTTCAATATAGTGACCCTCGAGGAGTGTTTGATCCCTCACCTCATTCCTTGGAGACTCGGCTTGGACGGGATCTTCTGCTGCCAATGCAATGCTGCTGAGGGCTATGACCATGAGGATGACCATCTCAAAGTAGCGCATGTTCACAATGTAGTGACACAGGCGGCGGATTCTATAATGGATGAAGCAAAGGAAGAGCTGTTTGCTCTTGAAGTCATATGTACAGGAGTTGATTATAAATTGTATGATTTTAACTGTATTTGTGTTTAAATTGGCTGCAGTAATGCTGGAGCGGCCTAAGTCAGAGGAGTCCTCCATGTGCGTTGCCATGGAGACCGATGCAGGAGAGAGGGAAGTGGGAGGAGCTTAGAGGGGAGAGTTTGAAAAAACGACAGTTAAAAATCAGTTAGGGTTTAGGTTTAGAGGAGTGAGCAGTCAGGAGTTAGGTTCAGAGGAGTGAGGAGTTAGGAGTTGGGAGAGAAGGAAAGGTGACGGAGTGACTTGTGAAGCAAAACTTTGAGGCTTTGAAAAGCTGGGTTTGGCTATTGGAAGTTTCTCAGGCTAGTGCAGCCGAATGGTGAAACATAGCTGGTATTCTTTTAGTCTAAGGAGAGGCTAAAGAATAGTTTACTTAGTATTTGATCTAGGGAGGATCAACTAAGGGAAACATCCCTGTATGGAAACTTTGTCTGAAACAAGTGCTCTACGTCAGAAAGATACTGTGTTACTTGAAAGAATGAACTGTTAAAGTTACAAGTATTATTCCAAGTGCAACAAGGAAAAGTTACGTCTTGCAACCACACGCTGTGTACTTAATAAAATTGTTAACTTTTATTTGAAGATTGCCTCAGCTCTGTCTATTCTGTGTGCAAAGTGCCATTTCTCACAATATTACAACTTACCTCACGTGGGGGCAGAAACGTAGGGAAAAGTAACCAAATAAATCTACATTCTTCTCTCCAGTCACGCTACAGTATATACAGTTAATTACTACTAAGTTATTACTTTCTTAATAAAGGAGGAAGTGCAATTGAACAGCCTCCCTTCCAACTTGATGGTAAATTTGGTTCCTAATCGGCAACCTCCATTGCAAATCGGCCAGTTCTTTTTAAAATTGGGAACTGGGGTAAAATCTCCTGAAAACTGGTTCCTTTCAAATTGGTGGCAACAATAATTCATCCCTCCACTCCCTTGCTTCTTTTCATAATATAATCAGGAGAGATCTCAGTAGAGCAATGTCCTACCCAAACTTGGATGAGTGATGTCAGCAACCAACACTTCTGGGCCTAATGGCTTCTGAGAGTTCATCACTACTCTACCTCATTTTACAATTGTTCCTGTCCACCTCTTTGAACAGTTGGACACATCCTAAGGTTCCTTGATGCTCCTGAAAGGTAGTGTCACTGCAGGACATTGTGGGACTTAAAATGGATCTAGCCTTTAGACAGAAGACTATGGGTACTGGCTCTCATGGAGGTTCATTCAACCCACCAAGGTCCATGGATGGAGGAAGAGGTCCAACCAGGGGATAACTCCCTAAGATATGGACCTATGTCTGAGGAAACAGGGATTCAAGAAGGAGCTGAAAGATATATCCCAACATTGCAAGGAGAACATTCCAAGTTCAGATCCTAACATCTCCAGTTAAAAGGACCAAAAAAGTGGTACTGGGCAAATATTTGGGACCAAAACATGTCGGAACAGTGCTTTCCCTTTGAGGTCCCTTCTCTCAAGCTAGAGCCCAAGGAAGAGCTCCCAGCTCCTGAGATCTGGGAAACCGAGTCTAGACACAGTAGAAGAAAAGCAGCTGAGATGACTTACGGGTTAGTAGGGCTTAAGATGAACATGGAACTATAAGGCAAGATTGGTTTTGGTCCATTTTCTGTCAAGTCATTGTCCACATCCATGTCCTTCTTCTCTTCAATTTTGGTTTCAAATTCAACGTTGTTCACTGCAGTATTGGCACAAATGAGGAGTCATTAAAGTCAAGGATTTTATAACCAAACTGATCAACATCCTCCAACAAATGTGTTACTTGGTTAATTACATGTGCATCATTGATTGCTTATACCACGCCTAGGATTTTATGTTATACCTGGCATTAAGAAAGAGAAATTAATGGACCATTAAGTTGTCCGCAGAAATCAACGAGTAGAAAACACACCTATATGCTTCAGTTCCCTCCGAGATGGACAAACAACCTGACGTGAATAGGTCAACTTTCTGCCCCAGAGGAACTCACTTGGTATGACGGCAGCATCCCCAGCAGGGGCCGTGATAGTGACGGGAATGTTCACACCGGTCGACTTCTCCAGAGACGGCTGAGCCATGCGGGTGACGTTCTTCTGGTTGTCGGCATCTTCCGGCTGCTCCGGTACCCTTTGCAGGCAAGTGCTGGGCAAAGTGTGGAGAGGGGCAATGGTCACGCTCCCACCAGTCTCCATCTCATGGTGACCTTCCCTGGGATACAGAAGAGTGGAGATGAAGAAACAATTCATCTCTGGCAACCTTTTCCATGACTCCTTTTGCCCAGACGGAAAACAGATTTGGATGTCCTACTAAGTCAGTGGTTCTCAGCCTGTGTTTTGGCCTACAACTCCCAGAAATCCCAATCAGTTTACCAGCTGTTAGGATTTTTGGAAGTTCAAGGCCAAAACAGCTTGACAATCACTGTCCTATGTATTCACAACCATCTCTTCTCCAAGCTAAACATACCCAGCTCCCTAAACCACTTCCTAAGCCTGATTCCAGAAGACTGATGGGACAATTCACTTAAGGACTGTAATTCTCTCTTACGAACCTACTTGTGTTTTGAGTTCTGTTGGGAAGGCCCTACTTGGCTTATACTCGAGTATATACGGTATATACCCAAATTTATAAATGACTAGCTGTACCCGCCACGCGTTGCTGTGGCCAACCTTCCCTTTCTCTTTCTTTCCTTCCTTTCCTCTTTTTCTTTCCCTATTTCTCTTCTTTCTTCCATCTCTACCTGTTTCCTCCCTCCCTTTCTTTGCTCTTACACCCTTCCTTCTCTCCTTCCTTCCTTCCCTATCTTTCGTTCCTTCTCTCGTTCCTTCTCTCTCTTTTCCTTTCACTTTTTTATTTCCTTTCTCCTTCCTTGCTTCTCTACYTTTCTTTCCTTTCTTCCTTCCCTCCTTCTCACATTACTTCTTGACTGTCAGTTYCATTTAATATTGTATTTATATCTTATATAGAAAGAAGGAAAGGAAGAAGGAAGAAAGGAGGGACAGGAAGGAAGGAAAAAGGAAGGGAAAGAAGGGAAGGAAGGAAAAGAAAGAAGGAGGGACAGGAAGGAAGGGAGGGAGGGAGGGAGGAAAGGAAGGAGAAGGAAGGAAGGAGGGAAAGGAAGGAGGGAAGGAAATGAAGGGGAAGGAAATGAAGAAAGGGAAAGAAGGAGGAAAGGAAGGGAGGGAGGAAGGAAAAGAAGGAAAGGAAGAAGGAAGAGAGGGAGGGAGGGAGGAAAAGAAGGAAAGGAAGAAGGAAGGAGGGACAGGAAGGAAAGGAAGGAGGGAAAGAAGGAAAGGAAGGAGAGGGAAGAAAAGGAAAGAAAGGGAGGGAGGGAGGAAAGAAGGGAAAGGAGTGAGGGAGGGAGAGAAGGAAGGTCCTTCACTCAAGCACCGTCGACCTTCCTCGCCTCCTCCTCCTCCCCTTCTTCCTTGCCTGGGGGCTCTGCTGCCGCCGCTGCCACTCATCCGCCCCTTCCTCTTCCGACAGGGAAAAGAGGAGGAGGAGAAGACTGCCCTACTGACATAGCAGGGAAAGAGAAGGGGCTCCATGCGGCAAGCCTCCACCTCCAGTCCCATGGTGCCCACTCTCGCTTGTGTGTGTGTGTGTGGCCATGCACGCACGCCTGGCTCCTCATGCTTTAACGGCCAGCTGTTTCCCTGCGGGGCGTGAGCATGGGTCTCTTTGTGGGCATGCAGTTTCTCCTTTGCGGACATGCAGTTTAGAAGTCCTTTCTGCTTTTTGTTTTCGTTGTTTTTTTGAGTGAAGGACATACATTGGGTTGTTAGTTGTATCGTGTCCAAATTTGGTGTCAATTCGCTCAGTGGTTTTTGAGTTCTGTGAATACCACAAACGAACATTACATTTTTATTTATATAGATAGTTTATTCAGACAGGGATATGAATGCAAGAGGAAGTCAAGCTGAGAAGCTTTCTCCATTCTCTGTCTCCTGACTCACCTGGGCTGATGGTTCCTCAGCTCTTTCTCCACCGCCTCACTCTCTTTCTCCCCGTTCTCCTTGTCTACTGACTCGTAGGTTGAGAGCGCCTTTTGCCGCATCCTGTGCCGTCTGTGGGGCTCTTCCGCGCCTTCACCTTTGGAGCTTGGGTCTCCCTCTCGGTTCCCAGGTCTGGACCCTCCTCTGTGACGCGAGCGGCGCTCCGTCTTGGCCCCGTTGATGCCTCCGTTGCCTTCTTTGGCTTGGTGCTCAGCCGAGTGGCGGTGACCCCGGTGGCGGCGATGCTCCCTCTCGGCTCCATCCTCCACAGAGCCCCGCCGGTGATGGCGTCTCCCTCCATCCTGGCCTCGGTTCCGCTCACTTTTCCCTTCCTTTCCACAACCTTCACCTTCTTTGCTGTGGCTCCGGTGGGGTCGACGGCGCTCCTCTTTATGGTTCTGGCCAGTGTCCCCATTCTCCTCCTTGGCCGCGTGGCTCTTCTCGTGCTCCCCTGCCTTGTCTTTCTCTCGGTGCCGATGATGCTTCCGTGGCCCTTCTGTGCCTTCGGTTGAGGGGGCTTTGGGCTGCTCCTCTCCTTCTTGCACGTCACTGGGACTTAGCTTATTGATGTTGTTGTTGCTTCGCCCATTGCTCCGAGGCTCAACCACCAAGGGCCGATCCAAGTGCGTTTTCATATCTGGCCTGATGTGGAGGTTGGTCGCATAGCGCACTCTTTCTTCTGGGTCCAACTCACTGTACAAGGCTTCACAACTGGTCCGGAAATTGTGCATCCGTATCTGACTGGTCCTCTGCTCCCACACAGATTTCGATTTGGAGGCGTTCTGCTGTTTGCTACAGGAGAGATGGGCAAAGAGAGGGCAGGAGAGAGAAAGAAACAGAGACAAAAGGAAGAGAGGAGAAGATTGGGTAGACAGAGGAAGAAAAGCAGAAGGGGTTGTTACCATCCATTTTGGCTAACTCAACAGCATGAGAAGATTCAGGACTGTAGTCAAGACAAAATGGTTGCAGCTGAATGGATAGGGATGGCTGGTAAAATATACAAAAGCAGGGGAGATAGTAGGAAAATTATAGCACCAAGATGGTTCCTTCTTAGGACTTGGTGGAATCAATTGGTTTTGAGGACTCAGTCCTACCCAGAGCATGGTCCATCTGGCACAAAGAAAGCCAACACCCACCAAAGCCGTTCCTTGCCAACTTTGTACCTGTTTTTCCCCCATTAATCCATTAAGCATCCCGATAATGGGAAAACTTTGGCCCTCCAGGTGTTTTGGACTGGCTGTTAGGAATTGTGGGAGTTGAAGTCCAAAACACCTGTAGAACCAAAGTTTGTCCATGCCTGCTATAACTACATGTCATCCACTTAATCTTGGTTATCTTGACTGGACAATCTTGGAGGCCATGGTGGTGCAATAGGTTAAATCTGAAGGTCAGCAGTTGCAGTCTGAATCCATGGGACAGGGTGAGCTCCTACTATTAGCCCAGCTCCTGCCGACCTAGGAGTTTGAAAACATGCAAATGTGAATAGATAAATAGGTACCGCTTCAGCAGGAAAGGCATAAGACACTCCAAGCAGTCATTCTGATCACACAACCAGGAGGTGACAACACAGGCTCCTCGGCTTAGAAAAGGAGAACAGCACCTCCTCCAAAGCCGGAAATGAAAGGAGAAGCCTCTGCCTTTGTTTGTGTTTGCGTGTCTCATTGTATTGTAACAAGGCATTGAATTTACTGTTTACACTGTAACCTGCTCTGAGTCCCCATGGGGAGAAGGGCAGAATATAAACAAAGTGTTATTATTATATACTAGCCATCCCCTGCCATGCGTTGCTGTGGCCCAGTTTTAATTAAACTGTTTGATAAAACTGGGAGTTTGGTTCATCTCTACCTAAATAAGGCAGAGCCCTGGCAACGTGACAGTAGTAGGTATGTATTTTAAACTCTGGAGTTACAGACTGGGCCTTTGCATCCTTGCTGAAAGTGCATTGCACATTGTAAGTCCACACTTCCATTGGCGCAGTAAAGGCATTAAGCTTTTGGTTTTACCCAGACAACTTTCCAAATCCCTTCCAGCTCTTAAGACTTACAATCCTGAGAAAGCCTTCCATCTCATTAGAGCCATATAATTCACATGATAATCCCACATAATTAAGTGTTTAGCAAGTTGTAGGACCCAGCAACTCATGTAAAAGATTATGGGAAGCACATTTCTTTATTTAAGATCTTTGGAAAGCTGCTGCCCATCAGAGAAGACAAAGAAGGACACAGAAAGAGTGTAAAAAGGAAGACAGAGAGTGTGCTGTCACACGCTGGGCCTATAGCAATTGGCTTTTGAACAGGATGTTCTCTTTGTGCCCAGCGGGAAGCTGGGGTGCCTCGGCTGAGAGGCCCTAAGGATTTTCCTATACAGAGTCTTTAAAAGCTTGAAAAGTTTAACAAAGTCCTTTATTATTGCTTAGGTCTTCAACAAACAATCAAATACTTCTCAGATCTTCAACAGGTCAAACAAATACTTCAAGGCTTTGAATCAACTGGTGGCTTTCTTAATCTTGTCCACAAGGGACAGGCAACTGGCTTCGTGAACTGTTTTTCTTTAAGAGGAAAACCCTTTTTAACCCCTCCTTGGTTTACTTTCTAAACTTTGCTGGTGTGGGCTCTACTCCCGGCTCCAAACTGCTTCTTGGGTCCTGAGTAGACCTACCAGTCAAGGCTTTGTAGATTCTCCAGCTGGAGTCCTTTGGAACTGTTTTCCCCTGGAATTTCATAAGAAACGAAGCTTCTCTACAGGTGGAGCTGATTCACATCCTGTAGCTAAGCTTTCAACTGTAAGACTGAGCTAAAATGGCTCCCTTTCCTTCCTGAACCCTGGGGAAAGGGGGGGGGGAACTTAACGACGATAGACAGGTGGCTAACCCCATGACTGCAAACCAAAGGAAGCCACCTTATTGCAAAATGCATGGAACTTTGGAATACATGCAAACACTCAATAGAAAGAAAATGAAGTAGGAGCTCCTGGTACAGAGAGAGACACAAATGGATCTCCTACCTTCTCCATTCACAGGCAACAGGTAGCATAGTAAAAAGGGGCAGAGTGCATGGTTTGCATGAAGGAAGTCCCAGCTCTGATCCCTGGCATCTGCAGATAGGACTGGGAAAACTCCTTCCCCAAACCCCAGAGAGCTGCTGCCAGCTTAGTGCCTACAGTACTGGACGCATTGAAGCAATGCTCTCAGGTTCATCCCAAGACCATTTTCTGTAGTCATAATTCAGGACCCTTTGATGGAATGATCTCTGTACAATGGGTACATCCATCCACGCTGTACATCATTCCAGTCTGATACCTATTTAACTGCTATGATTAGCACCAGGAAAGTGTAAGCTGCATTAAGATCACTTCTGACCATAAGGTCATGAGTTCGAAGCCAGCCCGGGTCGGAGTGAGCTTCCGACCAATTGTGGAGCTTGTTGTCAACCTTTGCAATCTGAAAGGCAGCTGCATCTCTCAAACAGGCAACTGGCACCCTACCTATCTGACGAGACTCTGGCAACTGTCATCCATACCACGGTCATTTCTAGGCTGGACTATTGCAGCGCCCTGTATGTTGGCCTTCCTATGTCAATGACCTGAAAGCTCCGTATTGTTCAGAATGCGGTAGCCAGGTTACTCTCAAGAACGCCCATGAAAGGCCATATAACACCAGTGCTGCAACATTTACATTGGCTTCCAACGGAGTACCGTGGCCTGTATAAGATGTTAGTTCTGACCTTTAAAATTCTTTACGGCCAGGGTCCATCGTACCTTAGGGACCGCCTCTCCTCCCATCATCAGAGGTCGCAACGACCAGCCCAACGTGATTTATATACCGGGTCCTAGAGAAGTGCACTTGGAAAGTACCAGACGCAGGGCTTTTTCTATTTCTGCCCCTGCCTTGTGGAATTCCTTGCCACCCTATATGAGAGCCATGCGTGACTTAGGGCCTTTTACTCTCGCACTTAAGACCTGGCTTTTTACTAGAGCATTCGATCTCTGTTAATTTTTAATTTCTGTATGTATGTATTTTATCTTTTACAATTTAGCTGTAAATCGCCTAGAGCATTCTCGGATGGAGGGCGATTAATAAGTATTTTTTTTAAAAAGTAGGAAAATTAGGTACCACCTATGTGTGGGGAGGCTAATTTAACTAATTTACGAGGCCATACAAAAGACTCCAGCAAAGCACTCCAGCAAAAGCATGCGGGGAATACGGAAGTACTTCATCAGTGTCGCAGATGGACGATGAAAGCGACAGCTCCCCTGGTGGCCAGAAAAGTTAAATAGCCTCTGACTGTCTGTCTATATCAGTTGTGTGTCTTTGGCATTGAATGTTTGCCATGTATATGTACATTGTAATCCGCCCTGAGTCCCCTGCGGGGTGAGAAGGGCGGAATATAAATACTGTAAATAAATAATTGCTTCCAACAGGATGTTGGGATCCCACCTACAAACCTACAGATAGCAGAATCTTATTACATGGAGCCATAGCTACTGAAAGTGGTATCAAAAGTGTGGTGTGGATCTACCTGGCATTTGTCTAGGGGTCGCTTGCCTGCTTTCTCCCTTCTCCAGCTATGATAGGACCTACCTCACAATGAGGCCATGGCAACATGGCTCTCTTGGTGGCTCTTTCCTCCCTCCTTTTTTTGGAAAATGTGAATCGCCATAATCATTTGAAAAATGGGATTCATAACCTTTTGGGAAAACCACCGGTCACAGGAAAGGCATGACCTTGTTAGAAGTCACAACCTTTTTGGAAAAAATGGCATTCACCAGCATTCTTGCAAGGCTGATGTGCCTCGGAATGTCTTTGAACTGCTAGGGACAAAGATATGCCAATGCACAAAAACATATATATTCAAGCAGAATGTCAGAAATATTCTTAAAGTTGCCCAAAAAACATCAACTCTCCCTTTAAATATATATTTGCCTTTAAATCATGCTCTCAAGAGACAAAATAAACATTCTTCTTTAACAGGAACAGAGTTGGTTTACTCATACATGCACTTTGTTTATGATTCAAATTACAATAGGATTTTAAATAGTTTCTCTGTGTATGTAACACAGGGCATCTTCCTTAGAAACAATAGTCCATAGTCTGTCCTAAGAGTCTAATAGAGACTTTGTAGTCTGTTCCAACTAACTTCTAAGCATACATCTGTTTCTATTGAAGTCTCTAAGCATGCTTCTCTACTGAAGAGTCTGAGCCCTGAACAAACCCAGATCTGATCACGTGGACTGCAGCCTCTCTCACAACAAAGTGTTAAGGTCTCTCTGTTTTGAGAGTCTAATTAGTCTCTAAGCATACTTCYCTACTGAAGTGTAAACTGTACTGTTTMTAAAATGGAGTCTGAGCCCTGAACAAAMCCAGWCCTGRTCACMCMGTCTGCAGCCYCTCTCACAACAAAGAKTTAAGGTCTCTGTTTTGAGAGTCTAATAAGTCTCTAARCATACTTCTCTACYGAAGTGTAAACTGTACTGTTTMTAAAATGGAGTCTGAGCCCTGAACAAAMCCAGWCCTGRTCACAYRGTCTGCAGCCTCTCTCAYAACAAAGAGTTAAGGTCGCTCTGTTTTGAGAGTCCAATAAGTCTCTAAGCATACTTCCCTATTGAAGTGTAAACTGTACTGTTTCTAAAATGGAGTCTGAGCCTAAACAACCCCAGACCTGATCACATGGTCAGTAGCCTCTCTCACAACAAAGAGTTAAGGTGTCTCTGTTTTGAAAGKCTAATGAGTCTCTAAGCATGCTTCTCTACTGAAGTGTAAACTGTATTGTTTCTAAAATGGAGTCTGAGCCCTG